TTACAATTTACAACGGTTATAATTATATTGTTTATGTGTATCATTTAATTTAAAACTTATTATACATTTAATAAATCAACAAGGATTTTGTTAAAAATCAATATAAAATATATAATAAATAAAAACTCGATAACAAATTTGCTATTATCATTACAGTCATCACCATAATAGTATGGAAATTAGTTCAATGGATACTAGGGTTCTATATGTATATAGGCATGCTACATAGGATTATATATTTGGGATTTTTAATGGTGGTAACTAGGATTTTCGTTATGCGAAATTGGTTTTCACGAACTATCCACAATACGTATAATTATACACCTAGATTTAGTCGAGACAGTTTTACCAGGATAGCTATTGAGCACGAATCAAATAACAAGTTAATTAGCTTAAATAAGGACATAGATATTCCAGTTCCACGTATTTGTTGTAGTAGCTATAAAAAATACAAACAAAAAATTACACGGTTCGGCGTTAATTTAGAAACAAGTTGGACTTTTGGTACAGCTATTGCATATTTGTACAGGTAGGTATTTTATCGAGATACCGTTTTTTGTAATTAGCATAGATTTCAGAATTCTTTTAGCGGTAGTTTTTGATTTATTACAAATTCGAATACAGGTTTAACATATATATATATATATATAGAGAATAGTAATTATTGTAGCGACTCTGTATATATTTTAATTAAAATAACGGGTTGTACGCGGGCACGGGTATTGATATTTTCCCAATTAAATATTCGAATCTACGTTATAAAAATAAAATAAAAACCAAAAATAACCTGCAATTTCACGAAGAACTCGGAATCCTTACGAATAATCAATTATCTCGGCTTCTGAATTCTGACCGTGTATAACTGGTGCACAGTAATACTAATATTTACCAATTGAATAATTGTAACTTGCGTTGTACGCGCTTTTTTTCCTTTTGCAAATTTTCAACATTATCTGGGCAAACATGTGTTATGTGTTATATTTTTTAATATTGAGTTAACGCCTAAATAAGTATTAGGCACTTCTCAATATTATTACAATCGCAAACATCTGGGTTAATATAATACAAAGTTATTAAATTATTCAAAACTCTCGACGTTTTTTTCACAGCGTGGTGCGATTAAGGTAATAAATATAGGGCACCTTTTTGCGTTTATTATGAATTATAATGATGCGACGATGATGGTGATAAAGACGTCCAACAGGAGAACGGCTAATGTTAATCTTACGCGTACGTGATCATGTAGTGCAGTTCAAAACTCCTGACGCGGAAGAATTGTAAAAAAAAACATAATATAATATACCTAACTAAAAATCTATAAACGTAAACATCATAGTAATGGAACAGTCTAATCATAAATAATGTCATTTAACTATTCTGACTGTTTGTTACTTGGTTTTGATATCTAACCTATTCGTGTGCATCGCCGTACTTATCGTTGTCCGATCCGCTCAGATACATCGTTTGATAGTGCTCGATTTCGTTTTAATCGGTTTGTTGTTTGCATTGCGATGGTCCAAGTGACCGAGTTACAGACTGGGCAAAAATATATAAATACAAGCTTGAAAAAACCTACTTGGCAAAAGTGTCTATATAAATGACACGCCGACCACGGAACAGCGGCGATTATATTATTATTAAAATAAACGGCAACCGTGAGAAAGGTCTGCTAGTCTAAAATCACTGCAGACACAATTAATGTGATATGACAAAACAATTTTCAAGTAAATTTGTTCAATTTTGTCGAATCGAGTGTATTTGAGTATCATGCGCAATTTTAAATTAAGGTCCTTTGTAGTTCGCACTGCCGTTGTACTTAACGTGCATAGGAATTACAAAATAATATAATTTTCAGTTGCGCCAAACGACACATCATCGAATTTTCTTACAATTTTAAAGTAGGTATATTATGAAAATTGTTTGTGCTGTTTCTCACGATGACCGTTCTATTTTACGTATGTAAATGCATGACATATTACTAAAAAAAAAAACTAAATACCTATGATTCAAATATCTGAGGGTAGAAATTCAAAATTCCTATACTTATTTGCAAAATGTAACTCAATAACAACTAAAACAAAAAACCTATTAGTTGAATTAAAAAGATGATGTTTTGTTCTATAATTTTCAAATTACAAAAAGGATTACTCGAATAAGTCACATATAAAAATGTATTCTAATAAATCATTATTTGAATATCAGTTAAAATATTATACTAATAATTAAACTAATATTTATAATAAAATAAATAGGTGACTATCTCTTAATAAATTGCAAATAATATGTTTAGAATGAAAATTGTATTTAAAAAAATTATAAATAATATAATTCGAATTATAATTCATTTAAACAATTATTTAAATTTTCAACATTTGTTTTGGTAATAATTAGGACATTTTACCATATCATTCACCACGTATTTTCACCACCTCCCTTAAAAAAATAGTTACCTGTTAAATTTTTTCTACTAAAATTTGATAACTTAATTGTACGTTTTTTTATACGATTTATGTCGCATTGTAAATACATAACCATTGTTTTGCTTAAGTAATAACTCAAAATATGTTATCTGAAATCATTAAATGAACCTCAAGATACTGTCATACAACTAGTATCTGTATCTCGATATTCTTAAAAATGTATCAGGTGTTCTGTCTTCTGGTGTTCATTACTTTTTGAGCGTATAATTAAAATTGAAGAGGATAGGAAATTTTACATGAAATATTTCACACATATAACCCTTTTAATAAATTCTTAAATATCTGTAAACATTATTAAATTAGTATTTAAAAGGCCCGTGTAATATAAATATTGCTAGTGGGGACTGAGGTTGTTTCTTTTTATTTTTTTTTCACGTGTTATTTATTTTGTATTGACTCTCGTCTGAATAATTTCTACAATGAAATTAACTACAATCCCATTTTTGCTGCTACCGATTCAAATAGGTACGGCTAAGCTCTCGGCAGTAATAACAATTACAGAATGCGCATCAGGAACGAATTGTTCATTTTCACACATGTAATTAGATATAAACCTCTCGTTTTTCTTTTTTCACAACAAGTCTATGTACTACTTTCGTATAACAATGAGGAGAAGAAGATGTGCGCCACTATAAAATGCGTTTTAAATGTAAAATATATAAATGTATGCTGCGTTTATATTAAGTGATATGATTTTTCGCCTTAAATACTAAATAACTGTGCCAAACGTTTTATAAGCGGAATTAGATGTGTTTTTCTGAAAATAATATAATATCAATCATTTCGCACGCTCTATGATACGTGTCAGATTTTTACAGTATATAATATAATTTCTACGTGACGGCGGATAGTGTACATTTATACTTATATAGTATATAAAAGTATTTAGATTTCTTGCTGCTGACATATTAGTATTATTCGTATAATTTGTATACATTTGTAAAACGTCTAATAATGTTTAAATCGGTGAAAATGAAAAATCTATCTAAGTATTTGCATAGTGTACCTAAATCATAATTTAGAACTCAGATACCCCAGGTATTCTATTGTATGTCATGAAGAATAATAATTACACACAATAGATGCTTCGGAGAGGCTTTGATCAAATGGGCAGTTCATATAAGCGCAGACGACTTAACGGTACCGGACATCGCACCAGTTGAACATTCTTAAATAATATATTCCTCTGACATTTGAACGCATTGAAACTTGCCTGTATATAAACGCTCTAAACATATTAATGAGATGAATAATTATAATTGCGATTGAAATATGTAATTGAGCCAAGGTTATATATTAAATTAATTTAAGTTTTTCAACATAGATATATGTCGTTACTATATTTTAATTATTTAAAAACCTAAATGCTAGTGGTATAGATTAAGTTAGCAAAACGTGTATGATAACTTGACCATTTTACCAATAGATCACTGCGCATATGAGTACATAATAATTAGAAGTTAGAACAAAAATGGTATATTTTTTTAATGTGTACCTATTGGCTATTTGTAAATACCGATGATACAGGCAAATTATTGTAAATAAAGAAAATATATTTTTTAAGTTAGAAAGCGTGAAGGTTTTTAATCAAATTCAAGGCACTTATTTGAAAAACCTTTATTATCCCTGATTACTATATAGTAGATATCAAGTTAAAATATTAAAACTTTCAAATTTTCAAATAATATGGAATTTTAAAATTCAACAATAACCAGAAATGGTTATTATTGAATGGATAAATGACCGGATGAGCGTGTTAAGGTTAGGTACCCATCATTTTAGCAAAATAATTTATATTATAACAGTTGAATTCGTGTTTAGCTTCGAAATTAAAAAAAGTTCCAAGCATAACATATTTTAATGTATCGGCTAAAATGTTGCTTCCCAAAATGTTTTAAAAACGTCAGTTAACACCTTTAGGCTTTATCCTATACATATATCCTAATTCCTATATCAGTTGAAATTGAATAGTTTTAGTGTGGGCTACGAAGATGGTCATAAGGTATACATTAGTAGGTATTATTATAATATACAAATTAGGTAATGTCGTATCGAAATTAAAACAATTAGAGCGATAGGGGGGAACAGACAGCATACTTGTTATTAATTGTTCAATGGTCATTTGTTGTGGCAATTATATAATACGGAGCCGTGCATTTTTAAGGGAATGCGCCCAGACTGTGTCAAATCGGTATCTCGACTAAAATATTATTGTGCTGTGTGTAAGTATAGCTCATAGTGACCATTTACCCAGAAACAGCACGGGAAATAATTGAACAATAACGACAGTGCAATAATCAAAACGTGACGGTTTTCTGAAAATTAAATTCTGGTCCCAATGAACCTTAGCTGTAGGTAAAGACTTAAGATACAATAAATAATTACAATATAACGACCGGCGACCTGGTAGGTAATTGCTATGCTGTCCGCGGTCACCGTCGGATGTCCCAGTAACACATATTAATGGACAGCCATTATAATATATTAAACTAACTATATTATTTTTGTGATTACATTTAATTAAGTATACGGAAACGGTCGCCGTTAATTATTGCTACTGTATTTCATCGACTTCTCACAGGCATAATATTTTTCGCTACAAGTTTTCGCGTTGCTCTTGACGCCTTCCCAGCAGGTGCCGTTGTATCCCCACGGTTTGTGGCCTGTCCGGGACTCTCCCCATCGCCCTTTCACCTCGTACTGCATGTGTCTTACTACAGGGGCTATGCGACACATTAAAAGTTGCACACAAGGCATACCGAACGCCAGTTGTTCCAGCCGGTCCGGCAGGTCGTCGCTGGTCGCTTCGCGAATCTTGGATTTGATCTGTAATATCAAATTCAAAAAATAACCATTTATATAGAATGACCATTATAGTTTAAGAGCCGTTCGTGAAAGCCACTAAGCAGGTATATAAGTACATAGGAGTTCTTCAAAACCCAATCGATGGGACTGCCGGTAACCGGAGCACTAGATTGATCATCTCCCACATCTTCCGACGCTTTTAGGACCTGTAAAATGTTATAAAATATATATATATATACAATGCATTTTTTATATATTAATATAAATATTAATGTTCGTATTGCGACGAAAACCGTAATCGATAGGTGGTAATCACTTTTTTTTTAAAGACATTTTTCGGTCATGACATTTTAAACAGGACTGAAACAGAGGTCTTTTTAAAAAAGTCAAACAATTTTAACAGACAAACTAAGTCAGCCTAAATAGGGTCACGTGTTTTTTAGATTTTTTATTAGTCTTAAGTTTAATGCTACACTATTTTAGCAGAGCTTGTGCTTACGGCTTATACCACCGCTACACACACTCTGAACATACATGTTTCTATGTTTAAACATTAAAGCTAAAATATGTATAAAATAAACTATTCGAGAAATTTGTGGTTATTATGGAAATGGTACAAATATCTAACTACAAATATTAAATGTTGATAAAACTCATTGTTAAAGCAATAATGTGTTTAAAATTACTGTATTTTAAGTGTTAGGGTGGGATAAGTTAAACTGTTAAATTCAATTTCTAATTTTACTTTTAAATGTGTGTTTTGTTTTTAAATACATTTTATTAAATGTTTTACTTACTATAATGGTTGTGTACCTCTGAATTTATGTTTTAATTAAAGGTGTTTTTTTAATACAAAAATGAAATAATTATTTTGAATTTTTTCCTTTCTTAGAGCATATTTATTTTCAATTACTAAACAATATATGTGTCATTAATTGTAAAAGTGAATTATCTCCTTATTATTTAATTTTGAAATAACGAGATTTTTGTAAATGAATGTGTTAGAAAACTATTTTTTATTTATTGGAGTTGTTTCTCTTTTATAATGAAAGATATGTCTAAATGTGATTTCATTAAGCAAAAATATGTATATTATAAATATGTTGAAGTTACACCATTTTGACAATGAACGACACACATATTTAGGTCATGTTTTTAAAGTATTTTTTTTTTCAGGTCGTCAACCTCCTAACCCTACCTACTTATAATACAAGCGGCTATTGATAAAAGTGGAAGGAGGATGGTGATTAACTCATCAACTATGGGAGCTTATTTCCTAATTAAAAAAAATAGGTTTCTTATTATACATTACTAAGTGTAAACCGCAGTACAAGAAATATATAATTCACCATAAGATATGGCCAAAATACCCTAATAAGTTTTATAAACACAGAACCTCTCATCTCATTTACTACACACCACTTGACTCTTCACTTCCTCTTCACATCATACCTACTCTTCTCACCTGATTTTCAGTTGCAAGTTTAAATAACGTGCGTAAAAACTTACCGTTTGCGATAAAAGCATTAATCCGTTTACTATTAACGTTTTTAGCGTATTAGCACCGTGACCGATTACGCCCGACGCTACTCGAATGATTAACGTTAATATATTGGATTTTGTTTTGGTTTTATCTTGAACAGTCGAACGGCCAACAAGATCTGCCACGAGGACTGACATTTCCTTCCAGTCTTGACATTTGCCTGAAGCGCTGTAGTATGGGGATAAACAATGTTGCTGTTGTTCACCGACACATAAATCGACAGCAACAAATGAAATACACAAACCAACTTTCAATAAAAAATGCATTTTTTTTCATGTATTAGAAAGTACAAAATATAATTTATAAAAAAATATAAAAACACTATATGTCTGTACTACACTAACAGTGAAATTTGAATGCGCGGCGTTGTCATACAAATTAATGTTAGCGAACAATTATTTCAGGCACCTAACCGTTAAAAACAGTTTTACATTACACTACTTAAAACTGTAAATTATTTTATTATTTTTCTTGTTAATCAACTAAAATAAAAAACTTGATAAAAATAAATACAAAAAGTGTAGTTATTATTTTACCGAAATTAACAGTTAATGTGTATCAACAGTAGAGTATATTTATCAATACAAATAAAATATTACATTAGATGAATAGTAATCACATAGAAATTAACAGTCTTAGATAATCAAACACTGCAATATGGCACTTTTAATGGACGGATTCGGTCAAATTATTTTTAATTCTTTTACCATATGGCATATATTATTTATATGTTTAACTTATGTTAGTAGTCGACTAAGTAATCATACTATAGAAGGAAGCAATAATATGTAAATATAAAAACATAAATACAATTATTTTAAACAAAAAAATATTATGGTTAAAATTTGTTAACATCAATCGAATTTGGGGTTATAAACAAAAAAATAGCTAATTTATACCAAATATTCGATAACAATGGTTGTTGAACGATTAAAGAACAAAACATCAGCACAATAAAATATTATTAACTTTGTGGATAAATTGAAAAAAAGCTAAATAAATAACAATTCTATGACACAATAATTAATCAAACAAGAACATAAAAAAAAAAAAAATGGAATTATACAATTTTATTAAAATACGTATTGTAAAAAAAAGATTTTATAATTTAAATGAGCATCAATGATTTGCAGATGAAATATAATTTTGATTTTTATCACATAATATTTGTTATATTGACTTATTAATAGTGTTGGAAATAATCCGGGTAAAAATTCCCAACTCAGTTAATGTCTTTTGCGAATGCAAAAAACCCGTATTTTTTGAGTAAACCCCAAACAAACAATTGCTTTATAAACATTAAAAAAGATGTTTTTTTTCTTCAAAAACTGCTTATTTGGTTTAATTTTATCCAAATATTAAAGATGTATTTTAATATTTAAAAAATAAAATAATTTATTTTCTTTCATTTAATATATCCTGTCAATTTTGTATTTAGTTATGAGATAAACATTTCACAAATTAACTGGATAAACTATGCAGTAGAATAGTATTTTATATTAGCCAGCTTTTAATCAATCAACTCTAATAGATAGTCTGAAAATGGAAGACGAAAATAAAAAATATAGAATTGGTCTTTGATTTTATCTATGGCCAATAGTTATGCAATTCCATATTAATTTTGAGTTTCGCTCAAAATAATTTGCTTACAAACTAGTCATGGCAGGCGGATGTGCATACGCTTTTGGAATGAATCCATATTTTCTAGTTTTAGGAGCATAAGTCCACAGCCATCCATCGACCATTTGATTATCAAGATCCGCATATATCCATTCACCACGTTTAACTGATAAATCGTCTGGCGCTTGAGGCTAAAATAAATCCCAATACAATAAATAATAATAAAACTTTTAAATTGAGTATAAAATATTAAATTTTGCATTTAGAATAAACCCATTTGTGAATATGTTTATTAAAAAAAAAAAAAACAGAAACCCAACCAAGAAAAGAAAACATTCTTATTTTGGTTCTAAGTCTGTTTTTTTAATAAACTTTGCAAACAATGATTTAGTATTATGCTAATATCTTACCTTGTAGTCGTAGAGCATGACCATTTCAGTACCGTGGATAGCTGGATCGTCGTCTGCGACACAAGAGTTCCTTCGTGGTCGAACTCGAGTAACTGGCGGCAAGCCAGTATTAGTCGCAGTACACTGATTGTTGTTGTTCATTTGGTTTATGTGACCTGTAATATTGTTTTACAATTTAAATATGTAATTGAATTATAAAATATAAACATTGTCCATCAGCATTACCTTGAATAATATCTGCTGGATACACAAAACCACTAGGAACAAAACCTTCTTGACCGTCACTACGAATGATCCAGTACCAGTCGGGATCTTCTCTGTTCAACACAGTAACAAATTCTCCTCTTTCGACACTTACATCATTTTCGTCCCTAGCTATAAACGTGTACAGTACAATGTAACGTCCAGCGGGATCCTAAAAAAGCGTAAGAATAAAAAATATGTACAACTTTTAGTTCAAAAAGAAATTATAAATGATTTACCTTAAAAAATGGACGAATATCAGGGTGTGATGAAGCGCTTAACAACGACGCTCTAGAACTATTAATATTTTGTTTATTTTGATTTTTTTGATCTTGAGTTTTGTTTCCAAAACTTTCACAGTCTGATACATCACCACAGTTTCCTTATAATACAAGAACAATAATTGAATTGTTAATATTTATGTATTATTAAATGTAAAAAATAAAACTATAATATATCAACCATATTTTTGTTGCTCGTTGATTTCAACTTCTACAACAGTTTCAGTCGGTGTGGCGGCTGGTGCACGAGGCAATTTTTTTTTAACATTATTCAGTGCCAATTCGCCGAGCTGAGAATTATATGGCGTACAGTACGAGTGTGGAATAAATCCTTCTTGTCGGCTGTCTTCGGCTATCACGTAGACCCAATCGTTTTCTCTATAAAGAATGTTTACAATCTAAAACAAATCGAACGCATTCATTAATGAAACTGAATTGGTTTACTAAGCCAATTCCGGTTGCTCACTTGACCCCGTTTTACGGTCAACTCATCATCGACGCAAGGTGTGAAATCGTGGAGAACGACCATTTTGCTGTCAGGCGACAGTCCATTTTCCTTCTCGATTCCGACACGGACGAGAGTCTCGATGGACGCACTGCCCGTAATACGGCCCATCCCGGGCACGGGGCCATTAATGTTGCTGCCTCGTAATACATCTTTATCCAAGTCACTCGTTGAACCACCTGGTGATAGTTTATTTTAGAGATAATAATACAATAAATATTGGGTACCACCGACAAAGGAGGCTTACTTTTTTTCTTCTTTCCCCGGCGGATTCTCACAGGACACAAAAAAGCCATTACCACACCTGTTGCATGCTACAATACAGTGCAAACGGCGGTTATCTTCTGCTGTTGGATTATGTAGAAACAAAAACAATGGCGGTAAACAGCAACGGGCCGAGGGGACGTCGACCGAGTAGTGTCAATTATTTATATATTGTCAATTAATCATTCCATCTATACACTGCTGCACTTGGCCTGTATCGAGATTCGAGTTGTCGGCAGAACAGGTTTTGTTGATAATTACCGACCGTCGACGGCGGGGAACGACTTCCGAAACGATGTCCAAAGACGTTCCGAACTTTTCCCGGCTGTATTGTCTTTGGCGAATCCCAAATTTCCAACACGGTCGATGACGTTGCTCGAATCAGTTGTTTACGTATGCCGTTATTGATAGCAATAATCAAAACGTGTCACAAGTCCGACCATTTCTACACGATTTCACTCGAATTAGTACATTCTGTTACGTTGCTTTTGACTATCGTGTCCGTCGTCATTCACTGCGTTCTACACTTAAGAGTATGTCGACACGCTTGTAATGCGTTTATATGCTATTGGTTTTTATTAATACTTTGTATATTCTCCACAGGTATCTATTTCGCTGCCGAAAAGTCTAGTATACCGACCAAAAATGGACCAAGTAACAAAAGTATTGGAACCCGGCCGTCAGTTCTCCAAAGACTCGGTGAGATTAGTGAAAAGATGTACAAAGCCCGACAGAAAAGGTAACTGACGCATAAAATTATACAAATCCCCGGTTGTTATTATTATTGTCGCGTTGAGTTAGTATAATTTTTTATTATAGAATTCCAAAAAATCGCAATCGCCACGGCCATTGGATTCTGTATAATGGGTTTCATTGGTTTCTTCGTTAAGCTCATTCACATACCAATCAACAATATCATTGTGTAAGTATAAACATTATTTATGATAAACATATTTCAAAGTTGGAAAAAATTGGGGGCAATTTTTTTTAACTATACCGACCGCACAAGTTTTATTTCAGTATACAAAAACACTAAAATCCATATTTTTGAGTTAACACCAAACATTTCCTGACTTTTTTTGCCTACCAATATATTTTTGTTTCATACGTCAAAGTTAACTTTGTGAAGCTAGCTGAAAATAATATGTTATACAGTGAATAGGTACTAAAATATTTTACTATCGGGCGTGTCTGTAACATATTTAGTTCAAAAACATTTGGTATATCAATTTACATTAAACAGTTTCTCTAAATTAACATACAAGTATACACAACTACAAACAGTTTTACTGTTACTTGTAAGTTATCATTTTTGATTACATACATTAACTTACAGTGATTTTCACATCCTAGTGTATAGTTGCAATGTCCACTTACACAGTGTCAATTCATAAATGGTTATACCGGTAGTAATCTCATAAAACAAACAATTGTTATCAGTAGTGATAAGCATTTAAATGGTCTCAACAAACCAGAATACAATGTTCCTCGATGACTGTAAATAATTATAGCAGTTTTTAAGGTTTAATAGGTAGAACACCCTAAGTTACACATTTATTGCGATTAGTGCAAATAGATAGAAAACGCATTTAATAGTATACAATAAAAATGAATAAACAGATATAATTCTTTACTGTTAGGTGCCAAATCGTGTTATTTTTGTTGTTTTTAATATTTTACATGAAAATAAATAATATAAATTATGTTAAGGGTTGCTAATGATTTAGTAAATATTGTAAGATATGTTGATAATATGCAAATAATAGTTTAAATCAATTTTAGACAATAATCAAAATAGCTTTTTTTTAATGACTTTTTTTTCATAAAATATTTGTTTGCCAACTCCTTAGAATGATAAATTCATAATTTTCCTAACCAATTTTACATGTAAATTTTATCAACTATGTACCATACTAATTGTATCATATAGTAGTTATAGAAGTAGTTTAAAAGTTATTAAAACTTAAAAGTTTCTAAAATAACAAAACTTCTATTATATTTAATGTGTTCTAATTAATGTTTTTGTTTTTCAGAGGATCATGAAGAGGAGGGAGTGAAATAATTCAATTTATATCTTTTCAATGTGCATCCTGAAAATCTAAGATGTGCAATGTTAATACAATTTTGGTTTTTTACATATATAAATATTATATATGGTGTATTATATTATACTATTATAGTTTGAACATTAATTTTTATCTTTGTCCAATTAACTAGTGATTAGAAATTATATATTATTTATTTAATTTTTTTTTAAGTATACAAATTTATCTATAGATATTAAATAATAAATATTAAAATCTGTAAAAAGTAATATACATTTATTCAAAAAAAAATTTAATACAACATCAATATATTTATCAAACTTCAAAAAAACTAAAACAATTTTTTATGAACCAAATACTGCAGTTCCAATTAAGTAAACTGGACGATTCTTGTACTTTGCAGATATATCATGTTCGATCTAAAAAATTATACACGAATTGAGTTAGTTGTTAGAACTCTGTTAAAAAAGAAATATGTGTTTAATAATAAAATAGTATCTTAAAAGTATAGTTGAAGCGTAATACCTAGAATCGTAAACTACATAAAATCAATGATTACAATTATTTCAATTTTAATTCTACAACTCTGATTTTAGTGTTTTGAAACATTTTTTTTTAGTTTGTGCAATTTGTACTCGTTAACAACAATTTTGTACTCCCTGATAAAGTATACACTTTTTGTTTGAGTACCTACGTGTATACTCTTACTATTACACAACTGAAAATATAATTTTGTCACCCGGTTTTTTTTTAATGTTGACCCAATGAGTTTTTTTGGGGATACAGAATTTTTATACTTAAGGATGAACACCAAACATTTGATCGGCTTGGAAAAAAAAAGTTGCCGGATTTGGGGTTTCCTGCAACTCTTCATGACAATTGGATTTAAAAAATATAATTAAACGAAAATTTACTTCTTTGATGAGCTGTTTGTTTTTTTGTTGGATCAATTTCAATTTTGGTACAAGTTGATTGTATTCATTGACCAATTCTTGTTTCATGTTGGTAACGGCGATTTGTGAGTTAATCATTTTTTCTATGTTGTTGACTTTTTGAAGAAACAACGATTCCAATTTATTTAAATATCTAACAATAAGCAAATGACATAAATGAAATAGAAATACATTTTATATATTCCACTATTACCTCGGGGAATGTTTGATTTGCAGTAGATGTTGGACAACCGGATCGTTAAGTCTTTGCTTGATCAACTTAACTATGTCTAACATTCCTACTAACTCGGTTTTTGATTCGCTGATTTCGTCTTCGAGTTGAATGGAGAGTATAGAGTTTGTATCGTGTGACAACTCCAATAATCTCATATTCAAAAATGATTCCAGCTGTAATTAAAGTACACTATAAGAAACATGAATTAGTGATTAGAAAATGTGTCGACCAACTTCTAGAATATCGTTGATGAATTCGTTTCTCGTCTGATAGTTGTCCAACAATGTTAACGCTTCATTTCCTTTAGCTACGCTTCCATCAACTTGTGGACTTTCAACGACTATACCGCTCTCTTCTAGAGTAATGCCATAGTCTATATTCTAAAATAAATACGATTCAATTTTCTATTAAACTTAATTTGGAAGAATTGTTAACAATAGAAATAATGTTTACGTCAGTCTGATCATCCAAGTCTCCCCAATCGATTTCTTCGTCTTCTGCATCATTTTCCTGAATAAAATAGGTTTTTTTTAAAAAAAATTTTAAACATTTCAACTCCAACGCGAAACTGTTTTTAATTTAACATTCCAGCTCCGACCTGAAGCTGATATTAACATTTAAGTATTTAGTAAAACATACTTGCGCGTTATCTTCGACATGAATGACCAATTCTTCGATTCTACTTGGTTTTTCCCCATACAAATATTCGTAATAGGTAGTGTTACCATTATCTGGAATACAATTAATTTTGATAGGTAAGTTAGGACTAAAAGAAATTTAATAACATATAATTACTTATTATATACTGGAGCATTGGTAAACTGGTGTCTGGTGCTAAAACATGCACAGCAAATTTTGAAAAATAAATGTTGGCTTTTTTCAAATTTTTCGCGTTATCTATGACATCTTGGTATACTTTGGGAAGTTCGCTTAATCTATCTACGAGTGTACGCTTTACGTTATCGCCGACAATGGAAAACTGCTTACGCATTGTTTCCAGGTCTTTTTTACACGTTTGAATACTTTTAGTATAATCTTCAATTTTTTTATCGCAATCCTAAAAATTATAACACAATAAAGTTTTGTATTTTGACAACATAATTAAATTAACTCATTGATCACTAACAGTTTGCCCCGATTGTGTTTTAGCTATTTGCTTCTTGATCGCTGGTATGTGAAATTTAATGTTCTGTATAAGAAGGTCAGCCGCTTCAGCTAAATAAATATTGTCCTTCAAATAAAGCCGCTCGATTTCCAGCCAGTCTTTCATTCGCTGCGAGCCGTACGACCCAAACAAATTCTTTGTATCAGCTTCGGTTTCTTTTAGTATTTCGATAATACGTTTACAGTAGAAATAATTTATATCTGCAACAAAATAAGTTGAACGAACATAGAATAAAAAAAAAAAAAATCAACTACATTGTATTATCTCTCACAAGTTCCGGATAACAATTCTACAATATCCTTGTGTTCAGGCATATCCTGGATGGCCGAATTGATTTTCTCTCGGATCGGTTGGATATGAACATGCCAGTCTTTTTTACAATGTTTTCTGTTCATCAGCCATTCACCAAGTTTTTGGGCATGGATTTCAATAGGAATAGAATTTTCCTGTGAATATCATAGATGATATTGTATTATTTGAATTATGATAATATAGTTGATATTTTTAATAATACAAATTAGCAATTACCATATTTTCTTAGGTGTAACAATAATTAAAAAATAAACCAAATATTATAGTTGAGTAAAATGTATTTTGGAACAATTAATTTACTCCAATCACTATTTTAAGAAAATATTACATTTATTAAAAATAATAACTGCAGTTGATATACTTAATATTAAAAATTTGGGAAATTTACTAAAATAGTAAATTCAATATTTAAATTTTCAAAGATTTGAAACTGATAAGAGATATCACTTTCTAGTGACTACGTCTTGTTTGCCACGATTATTGCCATGTAGCATATTGATTAACCTTATCAATATTTATAACGGTTGAATAAATTCATTTTTTCTTTGAATCTACTTTGTATTTTTTGATTGATTCTTAATAGATTTTGTTAGCTTGATGTAAAATATAATGAAACTAAGTTTGAGTAAACTCATTTTTCATTCTATTTGTATTTGATCACTTTTTTAATTATGTGTATTTTTATCTATATTTTTTAAGGCTTTTACAACTTGCATCTTGCCTCCGGTCTCCTATGTTTTTTTTAATAATATATTTTCTATATATCTGTGCACTTGGCTTGTACACTTTACTTGTATAAATATTACGTTATATCTGAGAGATATTATCCTCTATTAAATTTATACCTAAATGTTTTTCCAAGGTATAATTTTTGGAATGCATATTAATTTATAACATACCTTATACAACAGGAAATCACAGTGGGAATTTATTCGATTTTTTAGTTATAATCATAATATTCTGTTTAAATACAATCAAAAACTCCCAAGCTTATTAATTGGTTGTTGACAATCTGACAGTATGTAAAAATTTTAATTTATTAGTCGAATGGTATATATGTAGCGCACTCCTACGTAATTTGTTGGAATCTAAACAGCTTTTTCAGCCTTCTCACTAGATAGCACCGCATGTTATAACCAGTTTTGGGCAACTATTTTTAAAGTTCTAAGAGTAAGTTACAATGGGAAGGGAAGTGCGCGCAGATAAAAATAACACTACACTCCACCCTTTTTTCTTGCCCTAAACTTCAAAGCTGCAAAAATAGTTATCCAAAACTGGTAAATCAATCAGCCAAAATGTTTAATACATAATTCTCAATTTAAAAAGTTAATGCAATGTATGCATATTACAGCAATTTTAAGTTCTAAAAGTTGCTATCAAAAAAACTAAGTTGGGAGAGGGGTAAAAACGAAATAGAGCCCACACAGTGATTATTACTATGTGTGGATGTACATAAGCTTTGCAGTACCCATCGGACTTGTTTATTAACATATTATTTTTTAGTCGTGTGAATTCAACCGAATTGTGCTGTGACAAAATCATAATTATTATACTACTAATTACGCAATTATTATATCCATACATATATACAAACATTTTTAATTTAACTAATGTTAAGAGAATCTATTATAACAATATTTATAGTAGGTATTGATAATTTAAATTTGACGGTATATCCTTCAATAAATCCACGTCTATTGGATACAGTACATTAAGTTCACAACACTGCTGTTTAGTGTAGCTTCATAATATTATATATGTACGTATTCAAAGATACACCTTCCACATTTTGGATCATACTCTGAAACACAAACAATAATACTAATTTACAAATAATTATTAGTTAATTATAGTTAATTAGTAATAACTTATTTAGTATTGAACTACCAGCTAAATGGTTATAAATTTCAACTCGACCAGACTCTTTTTCTCGAAATTATACTCAGTAAAAGTACCAGCTAGATAAAATTTGTCATTTATAGAGTTGCTACTCGAAAGAATTATTGGTACAGTATTAAAAAAGTTACAGTGTATACAGACAACAAAAAAAGCCCACTTCATTGTAAAACCAATAGCATCTCTGTTCCGCATCGAAGCTAAAATTGTGAACAATTGAGATCACATTGTATAAAAACAATATATATATATATATATATATATATATATATATATATATTATTATATATATATATATATTTATTTTTTTAAAACCCTATGAGTTGGCCCATCAATAAAAAAACATCCTGTATTCCATACCTTAATAAAATCTTTGTTTTACAGACTAGTGAGATAATTATTTATTGATTTTATTATACAAAAATAATTAAAATTTAAATGGTGGTATCGGTTATTTTTGTCTGTAAGTCCGTAATGTCCATATAAAACACCGTTGTTTCGTTTTACTTCTCTAATCCTCATCATTACCGAGTTTCCTCTAGTGCGTATAAAAAAAATCAACTTACTGCTCGTACTAACTACTACCGTGTAATTTAAGGTGTTTAATGACTTTCAAAAACGCGTAGAGGTATAAATGATTAACATTAATGTCTGACATCAACAAAGTGCTATGATTATAAAAACAATGTTGATTATGTTTTTTTCAAGGAAACTTTTACCTTGTTAAACTAAACGTAATTAATGACACCCGCTACCTTTTATATTACTATATTACAGTCGTTCTGAAAACATTTGTATTTCAACAGTACTAAAAAAAAATAATATGAGATGAAATAATTCTCGTTAAAAAGATTTAAAAATTCATTTTTTTTTATATATTAGGGTTGTATATTAAATTTACATTTTACTTCTGCTCGTTTTAAAGAGGTTTCAATAGAAACGTGTCAAAATGTATAATAAAAAACATTTTGATCACATTGAGAAAATCGCGTTTTTAAAAATACATACAGTGGTTTGGCTAAAGAGAACTCAAATAATATTTAAATTATTTCCCATGTCGACTAAGGGATTTTACTACTATCAAATACTTCTTACATCTATTTCCCAGTTTTCATAACACAATCTTACCCCTTTAAAATTTTGGGGTTTTCTGTTTTGGCCCATTCACCAATAAATATATTATTTTATCAGGATCTAGGATCTGTTTATTTTAAAATCAATGAACCAACTAACAAACTATCTAAAACGTATTGGGCTACACACTTTGAATAGCTGGTCCAGCAAAATAATGTTTTATATCTTGAAAAATAGGTGTTCTACGATGTTTGACAAATTAAATAATTTCCGTTAATATTCCTTACTATTCAGTTAATTTGTGAACTTGGGCGTTATAACAGCAGTATTAAAAATTGTTTTCATTATTATAAAGCACAATATTTTTTTAAATAAATGTTAGTAAAATAAGCCTGGTTAATAATATTGTGTCTGTGCTGACTTCAAAAAATACTGGTACTGAAAAATGGTATTTCTGCTCAGTAGTTAAAACTATACCTATAATAGTGAAACATAAACACTTGATAAATGAAACGTCAGCCATATTTTTCATTATTTTCTTATGCATAACATAAACAAATTTACAGTGTAATAAAAAGCGAAATAAGTCGTCTATGAGCTAGCAAGTCATTAGATAGTTCAAGTACTTTTTTACCATCCCGATTGCTAAACATTGTGTGGTTAATATATATTTGTATTTTACTATAATAGATTCTAATAACATCCCACAAGAAGTTACCTGAAAACGAGTAAGACCGTTAGTTTAAATGTACGTCGGATGTCCACTGGGGAATTTATAGCAAAACAAATATTATTAAATTTATAATTTACATGTACTCTGTAAAGAGAATAATGGAAAAATAAATACACTGTGTTGACACAACAAAATCATTTAAAGTATGTTATTATAAAAACTATAACTACAAATGTACAGTGATCAATAGTGTGAAAATAAATTACTATAACAACGGCGGAGGTTTTTATACGCTTGAATAAAACATTTATTTTTATTACGCATTGGTTGTTTTAAAATAACAATCTGATTATAATGAAAATGGATAGTTTTATTATAAGCCATTAATAATAATAACTTTTTTTTAATAGCTTCTTTATAATAGCACTATCATAACTGCGTTTTTTTAAATTTGACATTGGTCGTGATTAATACATTTATAATGCCTAATGATTTCAAGCAGGTATTAAATTAGCTTCTATATCTTTGAATTTCCAATACACAAAATATCAATATTTGTACACAAGTTGAAGATGCTACTAGATATCTATTTGCTATGTACTTCTTTAATTTAACATTTCTCAAAAACCCGACTTTCGTCACCTGTCCACTATGCTTTCTTGATTCTTTGTTGCTAAAAAAAATATATGAAATTGACATTTTTGTTGTAAAAAAGATAGCTGATCTTCATTTAAATTAAAATTAAATAAGCTATTAAATATTTAATCGGTAATTAGGAAGAAGTCACTTGTCCGTTTTTCTAAGTGTAAAACTAGGTTTTTCTAAAAACCGCCTTAAATTGTTTGAGGTTGATGTTAGGTTTTTAAAATTTCGTAACTTTAAGCCAATCATATCAAACAACAATTGTTTAAATAATTTATTTGTTTTCAAATTAATAGAGCCAGCAACAATTTAAATCAATAGCCACCAATAACATAGTTTACCAACTATGGCAACTATTCAAATTTAAATTGTGAGCAATACACACAATTACAAAATGCTAAAATAAGTTCTTAAGCCGTTATAGCCGTTCCTCAGCAATTACACTAGAATATACGTTTTAAGTTTTGATTTTTATACAGATTTTGGTTAACCGAAGAATCAATAAACAACGTGAGGCCGACATAAAAAGAACTGCTGAGACCCGTAAAAGTTGCAATGGATTTTAAAGCTGACGAAAATATATAAAATTCCTTTTTTGCGTTTATACTTGGGGGTCATCAAAATGTAATATGAGATAACTGAGGCCACTAAGTTTTGGAATTGCCCGATTACATTTTTAACACATTGGCGCAATTGGCATCTGCCTTTACAACAACATTGCCTGTGTTAGACTTTACAATGTATGGATTAAATTGAGTTAAAACCTCATTTTTGGAGGAAAAAAACCACGACGATTAGGTTTTACCAAGCACCGAAGAGTTGATTTCTGTATGAAAATATGGGCTGGTATCGAACGTTTCTGAGTTGTGCGTTGTGTAATTATTTGTCGTAACTCGTACCTAAGCACCACTTCTGTGCCGGTAACAAATTATTCAAAAAACATGTACACCGCAGCAAACGACTCTTGCCGACGGGTGGTACGCGGAAATTACAAATTTCGGTCGCATAATGCGGATGTGATGTATGTAGGTACGACGTGGTCGCACAACAATAACAGTATGAAGTGCACAGACGAGTAAGGAAAATGTAAATTGTGAGCTGTTCCCACAGGACGACCACAACAGATAGGC